GGGGTTTCTTTGTGGGGGCAGCTCATGCTCATCTGTGTATGTGTGCGTGAGCTCATGTGTGTGTGTGTGTGTGTATGTTCATTTCTCATTTTTAAAAAAAAAAGATTTATTTACTTATTTGAGGCAGAGTTACAGAGAGGCAGAGGGAGAGAGAGAGAGAGAGAGAGAGAGAGGTCTCCCATCCTCTGGTTCACTCCTCAGATGGCCACAACAGCTGGAGCTGGGTTGATCCAAAGCCAGGAGCCAGGAGCTTCTTCCAGGTCTCCCACGTGGGTGCAAGAGCCCAAGGACTTGGGTCATCTTCTACTGCTTTATGAGGCCACAGCAGAGAGCTGGATTGGAAATGCAGCAGCCAGGACTCGAACCAGCATCCATATGGGATGCTGGCACCACAAGCTGTAGCTTTACTTGCTAAGCCACAGTACAGGTCCTGTTTTCTCACTTTTTAAATAAAAGCTCCATCGCTTTGTGCACCTGATCCATGCCTGTATGCAGAATGCTTCTCTAGGTGCAAGGCAAGAGCCTGGAAAAAACATAATCCATCCACCCCCCCTCATCAAGGGGCCAGGCCTGAAACCACTCGGAGGGGCCAGAGGCTGGGCATGGCTCAGGGGCAACTCGCAGTGTTGGGTAGAGGCCGGAGGGCAGGTGGGCAGCGGGAGAGAGTAGATACCCAACGCATGCTCTCACGGTCCCCACTCACAGCACACACCCCCCTCTCAGCCTGATGTTAGAATTCCATTTGAGGGGCCAGTGCTGTTGCGTAGTGGGTGAAGTCACTGCCTGCAGTGCCGGCATCCCATATGGGCGCCAGTTTGAGTCCCGGCTGCTCCACTTCTGATCCAGCTCTCTGCTATATGGCCTGGGAAAGCAGTAGAGGATGGCCCAAGTCCTTGCACCTGCATGGGAGACCTAGTGGAAGCTCCTGCCTTCTGGCTTTGGATCGGCTCAGCTCTGGCCGTTGCAGCCATCTGGGGAGTGAACCAGCGGATGGAAGACCTCTCTCTCCCTCTCTCTCTCTCTGCCTCGGCCTCTCTGTGACTCTGCCTTTCAAATAAATAAATTTTTTAAAATATATATTTAAAAAAAGAATTCCATTTGACAGATGAGGAAAGCAAAGCACAGAGAAGTGAAGGGTAATGGAGGCCAAATTTTGCCCTGACTTGTCCTCCCCATAGCTTAAGATCTCAACACCCACTCACCCTGGAGATTTGCTACCAAGCATCCACCTGGGACCAGGTGTGCAGAGGGGCCGCTGGTGGGGGAGGTGTGATAGAGCTGTCTGCCTCCATGTCCGACATAGTTAGAGAAGGAGAAAGTGGGGGGAGGGGCAAAGAGAGGAAGCCACAGAAGCGCATGCACACAAGCACACACATGCACACACAGACTCTGCCAATTTGTGGAGCATGTGCCGGAAACTCAACTCCTCTGATATTTCCCTTTGCAATCCAGGCAGCTGATCACGGCTCTGCAGCATGGAGCTCCAAGGGCTCGGCCCTGCCTGGAAGGGTCCCGGCCCTGCCCGCTCAGGCAGCAAGGCCCTGGCTGCAGCACACACAGGGCAGCTGCACTCCTGTGAGTGGACGCCCTCCCAGCTGGGGGACCCCCTGCTGCCCCTCCCTCGGCCCCCACCCTGGCCATGACTGCACTCTCCCGGAGCTCCCTGGCCCATGGCAACTCTCTCAGATTTCCCTCTATCTCTGATTCCCAGGGGCTGCCTGTGAGCAGTGTCTCCTCAGTGCCCGCCAGCCATCTGCATACACGCATCGCACCCCCGTCTCTCCGATCTCTGCAGAACGAGCAGGGTGGAGTGGATCCAGCTGTCACTCACTAGCTCCGCAACCTCCACTAACTTAGCCTTGCTGTGCCTCGCTTCCCACATCTGTAGGCTGGGACTGCAGGACTAAGATAAAGGCTGGAAGGTGTGCAGCGAAGGTGGTCATTAGCATTCCTGTGTGCAGCGGTGTGGAGGAAGCCTTTAAGGAGGAGGTGACTTTTGAGCTGAGCTTTGATGGCTGGAGTGCATTTTCTGGTCACAGGCACCAGGTCCTGCACAGGGTGCTATGAAACAGCTCAGCGTGTTTGCAGAACTGCAAGTAGTTGAGGATTGCTGGGACTGAGGATCATGGGCAGTAAGAGGAGATGCAGGAACCCGCCTGCAGACCCACCACGTGCTCTTCACCACCAGGATTGGGGCTCCTCTCCTTCCAGGCCCCTTCCTCTGCTCCAGGTCAGCTGTCACTAAAACCATCGCATGCTGCGGGGTCCCGCCACAGGGCCTTGGCACACACTATGCACCTGCTGGGAGCACCCTCACCATGTTCCCAGCAGTGTGCTCTGGCCTCTTCCAGAAGCCTCCCTCAGTCTCTGCTGCTGACCGACTCTCGGTCACTGTCCCTGTGTCCACGGGACCAGGACTTCCCAGGTCTCTGCTGATGCCAACATTTGGTCCTCATGTCCCAGAGTGCACGTCCACTGTCAGCTCTTAGAGATGGCTGTCACAGGGCTCCGGCGGGGGGTGAGCGCTGGTGACCTCAGCCAGCTGTGCACTCATCTCTGGTCTCTCTCTCTGACTTCTGCTCGCACAGGGAGGGGCTAATGAGGAGCCGAATGTTTGCTTCTCCCTGCATTCATGAGCTTCTTCAAGACAGGACCTGGCACACCGTAGGTGCTCAATACTTGTTCAGATGCCCAGTAAATGCCTCTCGGACGTGCCCAGGACCGACTCAGTGATGGGAACGCTCACCTATCCTTGGGGGGATCACCCAGCAAGCCCGAGGCCGAGGGCTCTGTCGGGAAGTTTCTGAGGCAGACGCTGGGGCCCAGAGGGGACGCGTGCAAAACCACACAGAGCACAGTCAGACAGCGCCGGCTGCTCAAGCCTCAGCCTCCTGACGAAGAAGGCTGGCGTCAGCGTACCCACCCTGGCGCACCTGCTCCGTGTGCCAGGCGCTTGACAAGCGAGATCTTAACCAAGCCTCAGATGACAAATTGGGGACAGCAAATCCCCACTCTCCTGGGGCCTGTGTGGGGCCCACCATGGCTGCTACATGCGGAACTGCAGAGTGGCTGCAGGGCCAGGCCCAAGGACACAGCCCGAGCCTGGCAGCCACACCCTGGGACTCTGGGCACCCTGCCACACTCTCTCTCGAGGGGGAACTCCCCCATGGCCATGCTGACTGGTGGCAGGAAGGAAGGGGCTGCCCTTGCTCTGCTCATTACCCCTGACTCTCTGCCTCCTGCTCAGCTCCAGGAAGCTCCCCACCCCCGATGCCTCCCCCTGCTCCGGGGAGCAGCAAAGGACCCCAGAAGCTGCACAGGCCCCCCTCGCGAGTCCATTTCACGGGTGGGAACTCCAGAGAGGATAGGCTGTCACTATGAGCTGTGTGGCAGCTGGGATGAGAACTGGGGCCTCCTGGCTCCTGGCCCAGGCTCTCTAAGCCTCAAACACTCCGCGGTCTGCTGCCACACACACTCAGCACACGGGTGTGACGACTTGCTGTCACTGACACGCCCCAAATCTAAGACACTTGAACACATCGGCAGAACGAGCTCAAGCCTGCCCATGCTGTGCCACCTTGGAGGTCACGGCGCCCCTCTGAATGGCAGTACCCTCCTCGGTAACCCTGGATAACGCCCTCCACACCAGCCGCCCAGCAGTCAGCGCCTCCTATTATTTCTGACCTGGCGGAAGCCCCTCCCCTTGAGAGTGGGCTGTGCCTGGTGTCTTGGCCCTGAGGAACAGAACACAGCCAGAGTGACGAGACATTTGGGGGGCGAGGGAACTGCCCACCCCTGGCAGCCGGGAGAGCTCGCTGGGAGGCGGAGGCTGCCTGTGTCAGACAAGCCTTCAGATGAGACCCTGGCCCAGAGGCTGGGAGCTAAGCCATGCCAAGATCCCCGACCACAAAAACGATGAGACAATGCCTATTGTTTAGAGCTGCAACGTTTTGGGCGTATCTGTTCTGCAGCCGTAGATAACGAATACACCGTTTGCCTAGTGCCAAGCCCCATGAGGCACACAGGCACACCACACAAGGTGCAGTCACCAACCGCCGCTGTGTACCAGGCCCTGTGCCAGCCATCAGGTAGGCAGTGGTACACCAGGCGGACACTCTCCCTACTCCCAAACACTCAGGGTTGACTTGGAAAGCCAGCCTTGTAAGTGGACAGTAGGAGCAAGGCTATGGGAGCCCAGGGCGGGCGTCTGGCGCACCTGGATGAGGGGACATCGGAGACAAACCTGAGGCTGAAGAGAACCTTCCAGGCATGGGTGGAGCCCAAGGCACACCAAGAAGCAGCTAAGAAAGGGACAAGGTGAGCTGTAAGGAGTCCTGGATCCCGGGGAACAAGACAAGAACGGTGACACAGCTGGGCTTGGAAGGGCAGTGTGCAGAGGAAGGGCGGAGAGGCAGAGCACGGAGGACCTCCAGCACCCGCCAAGGGCCCAGGATGCTGTGGCCAACAGGACGGAGCACCACGATCGGGCAGCAGAGGGGAGGATGGGGCAGGAGGGGGAAGCTGAGGGCAGGTGCCCAGGGAGGGTGGCAGCCACCGCACCTGCGCAGCAGGAAAGGGCTCCGGAGGGGCCGGCAGCAGCAGGAGGCTTGGGTGGCGTCCATAACCGTACAGATATGAGGGAGCCCAGGCCCAGTGGAAAGGAGGTGAGGTCTGGATGACTGGGGGCTGGGTCGGGGGAGAGGGAGGAAAGCTGCCCAGGTTTCCGGCAGTGTCTGGCTGAGCCTCTTACTTGGGTGGATGTGCAACGGCGAGGCACAGCGCTTGCAGGGAAGAGTGTGAATTGGCCAGGTTGGATTTGTAATGTAGACAAAAGAGAAACCCGGGCATACAGACAGCCCCGCTGGGGTCTGCCCCTCAGCCCGGGAGAGCAAAGCTTCAGGTAAGGTCTGCGCTGGGCGCGGGGGCATCTCCGCAGAAGAAAGGGATACCAACGAGCTTAGAGCCCTCCCAGCTCAGGGCCGATGCGGGGCGTCACCCACCTGTTGCCCGTAGCCCAGCGCTTTGTCGTAGAGCGCGATGCCCGCTGCCAGCACCCGCGCGCGCTCCTCCGCGCTGGCGCATCCCACGTCGAAGCCGTGCGCGTAGCCCTGCTCTGCCAGGCAGCACGCGGCGCGGAGCTGGGGGTCCCCGGCGGCCTCGGGGTCCTCCGCCAGGCCCATGAGGCTCGCCAGCCGCGCGGCGCAAGCCTCCTCTTCTTCCTCCTGGCCCAGCCGTCCGTACACGTGCGCCAGGTTGGCCCAGGCGTTGAGGTTGTCCGGATCCTCGCGGGCTACCTGGAGGAAGCGCTCGCGGGCCTCGTCCAGCTCCTCCAGGTAGAAGGCGAAGGTGCCCAGCAGGTGCTGCACGGCGGGCCGCTGCGAGGCCGCGGCCAGCTCCAGCTCCTGCCGCAGGCCCTCCCGCTGCAGCTTCAGGTCCCGGACGCGCAGCGGCTCCGGTGAGCGCAGCTCGAAGTTCAGCTGCATCTCCAGGTGGAAGTGGCCCGGGAGGTAATCCAGGTCGTCGATGAGGGCGTCCAGGTCGTCGGCCACGGTCTCCGGCTCCGCCATGGCTGCTGCCCTGCTGCTCCCTGGCCTCGCGCTTTCCCCAAGGCTGCGGAGGGCAGGAGACCAGGCGCCCCCACGAGCGAGCCAGGCGCGCAGAGGCCGAGGGCGCGGCCACTTCCCGGTACCGGGCGCCTCCTGCCCGTGGGTGGGCCCGAGTGTGGGCCAAGGAGCACCCTGTGGGTGTTTCCGCTTTCGCTGCTCAGCAGCTGTAAGACGCCAGCATTGCACAACCAGGTGTGCCAGAAAAACAGGTGCAGTGCCAGATTCGGGGCGCGCAAACCCCGGTGCGAGCAAAGGGCGTGTTTTCACTCTACTCAGCAGAAGAGGAAACAGGCTGACTGGCAGAAAGGGACCTGCCCAGGTCACGGAGCTGGGGCGGCCCAAGGAGCCCAGTTTGCTGAAGCCCTGCCGGCCCTTCCCCCTCGGCCTCCACCGCAGCCTCCCACCGCCAGCTCTGTGAACCTGGCCTGTCCTCTCCAGCTGCCACGCCCCCTCAGTCCTGCTGCTGTGCTATCAATCATCAGGCAGGTGTTCAGTGTCCATTTCTCTTGTGGCTTTCTTTGGTCCTTATTTATCAGGCTGTCTGCTTGAGATTTCTCTGCATCCCCTCTGCTCAGCCGAGGAGAGCACAGGCCCCTTGTGCCAGTTCCAACCCGGCTTCTCCAACCTTAATAATGTATGACGTTGGGGGCTGTGCTGCGGCACAGCAAATTAAGCCAGCAGCCTGCAACTCCAGCAGGAGTGGCTGCTCCACTTAGCTTCCAGCTCCCTGCTAATGCACCTGGGAAAGCAGCCGAAGATGGCCCAAGTAATAGGGCCCCTACACACCCACATGGGAAACCCAGAAGAAGCTCCTGGCTTTGGCCTGGCCTGGCACTGGCCATTGTGATCATCTGGGGGAGTGAACCAGCAGATGGAAGATCTCTTTCTCTCTGTCTGTCCCTCTCTATGTAACTCTGCCCCTCAAATAAATAAATAAATTTTTTAAGACTCTAGGTGCCAGCACTGTGGCATAGGAGGTGAAGCCTCCGCCTGCAGCACCAGCATCCCATATGGGCACCAGTTCGAGTCCTTGCTACTCCATTTCCAATCCAGCTCCCAGCTGATGGCCTGGGAAAGCAGTAGAAGATGGCCCAAGTGGTTAGGCCCTTGCACCTGTGTGGGAGACCAGGAAGAAGTTCCTGGCTCCTGGCTCTGCCCTGGGCCAGCCCTGGCTGTTGTGGCCATTTGGGGCGGGAACCAGGGGATGGAAGATCTCTCTCTGACTCTCCCTCTCTCTGGTAACTCCACCTCTCAAATAAATAAATAAATAAATATAAAAAAAGACTCTGGTTTGGAGTACTTGGGTGAGAGTCCTGGCTCTGCTCCCACCAGCTTCCTGCGAATGCTAATGAACACCCTGGGAGGCCGTGGCTGATGGCTCAGGTATTTGGGTCCCGGCCAACATGTGAGAGACCAGGTTTGGGTTCCTGGCTCCTGGCTTCAGCCTGGAGCAGATGTCCCCCGCCCACACCTCTCAAATAATAATGGAAAAAAGAAAAATAAAGCAGCATTCTCCAAAAAAAAAAAAAGGAAACAGCCAATTATTGAACAAGAATTTAAAAATTGACTTTAACAATAAAAAGACAAAACTGTGTTCTGCCATTTGTCACTTGTCCATTTTTTTACTGTAAAATTTATAATCTTTAATAAAAATGTGACTCTAACTTGCTGATAATCACGAGATGAAACGTGTTCTCTCACCTATTTGGGAGAATCAAGAGTGGATTCTGAGAATATCTGACTTTTTAAAAAATGTGGCGGGGCCGGCATTGTGGTATAGCAGGTGAAGCTGCCCCCTGTGACACCACATCCTATATGGGTGCTGGTTGGTGTCCTGGTTGCTCCACTCCAATCCTCCCCAAAGGGAAGTGCCACACCCCTGCACAGCGATCCCAGCTGCCCCTGCTCCCAGTGCAAGCAACGACAATGCTACTTTCTGTCTCCATGGATGTAAGTCCTCCACCTCTGCACACGCCTGGAACTGCACAGTATTCGTTCTTTCGTGTTTGGCTGATTTCATTTAAAATGATGCCTTCAATGGGGCGGGCGCTTGGGGCAGCACCTAAGACAGGGCTTCAGGGCCCCATCCCCTATCAGAACTCCTGGGTTCAAGTCCCACTCCTTCACTGCTGCTCCGGCTGCCTGCTAATGTGCACCTTGGGGGGCAGCAGGTGACAGCTCAAGTGCTTGGGTCCCTGCTACCCCTGGGGAGACTCTGAGTCCCAGGCTCTTGCTTTGGCCTGGCCCAGCCTGGCTGTTGCAGTCATAGTGAACCAGGCTAGGGAAGATTCTCTCTCTCTCTCTCTCTCTCTCTCTCATTCTGATTGATTTATTTATTTGAAAGGTAGAGTGACAGAGGCAGAGAGATAAAGAGAGACAGAGACAGAGACAGAGAGGTCCTCCATCCACTGGTTCACTCCCCAAGTGGCCACAGTGGTGGAGCTTGGCCACTCTGAAGCCAGGAGCCAGGAACTTCTTGCAGGTCTCCCATATGAGTGCCAAGGACTTGGGCCATAGCAGAGAGCTGGATAGGAAGTGAGGCAGCTGGGACTTGAACTGGAATGCCAGCACTGTAGGCAGTGGCTTTACCCACTATGCCAGTGCCAGCCCACTCTCTATCTGTCTGCCTTTCAAATAAAAATGAAAACACATTTAAAAAATTTTTAAATGATAATTTCATTATTATGTATATCATGTATTAGGATTTTCCTTTTCAAGGCTGCATACTATTTCATTGTATTCTTATGCTGCATTTTGTTTACCCATTCAGCTGTTGGTGTACTCTAGGGTTGCTTCCACCTTGGACTGTTGTAAACACTGCTGCTGTGAACAAAGCCACAGAAATCTGTTCACGTGTCTGTCTTTAATCACTGGGATACGAGGTAATCCTGTGTTTAATGCACTGAGGAACCGCCAGCTGGCTTTCCACGCATCTGCACCTTTCACTTTCCCACCATCGAGGCACAGAGGTTTCAATTTCTCTACATGCACTCCAGTAGGTGCTATTTTTTTATATTTTTAAAAGATTTATTTATTCATTTGAAAGCCAGAGTTATAGAGAGGCAGAGGCAGAGAGAGAGAGAGAGGTCTTCCATCTGCTGATTCACTCCCCAGATGGCTGCAACAGCCAGAGCTGTGTCTATCTGAAGCCAGGATCCAGGAGCCTCCTCCTGGTCTCCCAAGCAGGTGCAGGGGCCCAAGCACTTGGGCCATCTTCTACTGCCTTCCCAGGCCATAGTGGAGAGCCAGATTGGAAGTGGAGAAGTCAGGGCTCGAACCGGCGCCCACATGAGATGCTTGTACTGCAGGCAGCAGCTTTACTCACTATGCCACTTCTATTTTTTAATAATATCCATTGTAACAGATGAGCTTGGCTTTAAAAAAAATTGAGAGACAGAGAGGGAGAGAGAGCTCTCATCCCCTGGTTCACCCCTAGATGCCTGCAACAGCCCCAGCTGGGTGTCAGGAACTCAATCCGGGTCACCCCATGCCAGTGGCAGGAATCCAATCGCTTGAGCTACCACTGTCTCCTGGGGCAGCCAGAGGCGGCCGGAGCCAGGCAGTGCACGCAGGCACCCAGTGCGGGACACCAGCATCTTCACTGCTAGGCCACACACGCGACCTGGGGTGGCTTTTTTTTTTTTTTTTTTGACAGGCAGAGTTAGACAGTGAGAGAGAGACAGAGAGAAAGGCCTTCATTTTCTGTTGGTTCACCCCCCCAAGTGGCCACTATGGCTGGCACGTTGCAGCCAGCGCGCTGCACCGATCCAAAGCCAGGAGCCAGGTGCTTCTCCTGGTCTCCCACGCAGGTGCAGGACCCAAGGACCTGGGCCATCCTGCACTGCACTCCTGGGCCATAGCAGAGAGCTGGACTGAAAGAGAAGCAACCGGGACAGAATCTCGTGCCCCGACCGGGGCTAGAACCCGGGGTGCTGGCGCCACAGGCGGAGGATTAGCCTATTGAGCCGCGGCGCTGGCCCATAATTCTCTTTTAAAAAGCCACCCCAGGCCGATGCCACACGGAAGAGCTACCTACCTAAGGCCACAGCCCTGACACGGGAGCTGCCGCCCGGCTGAGGAGCTTGGCTGGTTTGCATTGGGCCAACAGAGGCTCTGAGGCCGAGAAGCCCTAACCTGCGGGGTGACCCAGGGTCAGTTACCCAGGGCCAGAGCTCAACGTTTCCTTTTCTGTACTGGGGCAGTGGAGTGGAGGAGCTACACCCAGCCTGGCTGCAGAGAGAGAGTGGCCGGGCCAGGAAGTCGCGTTGATGGGCGGGGCCTAAATGACTCAACCCACCCCACCCAGCCCGCCCAGTAGCCAGGACTCTAGGCATGTGAACTTTGGCTTGGATGCTCGGGTCACTCCCGCACGAGGTGTGCAGCCAAGGGGCTCGGGCAGCAGGGATGTAATGCAGCTGCCGGTGGGTCTGAGCCCGCCGATTGTCCCCAAGCAGATCCAGGGCCCACCGAAGGCCTCTCCCCGGCTCAGAGCTTGATGGTGCCACCACCCAAGCCTCACCACCACCATGACAGTCACCTGTCCATGTCACAGGTGAGGACACTGACGCTTGGCCAGGGCGCTGGCCTGAGGCCACCCGCTAGGAAGCAGCAGCACCAGGGTCCATAGAGGTCTCTGGGAGGATTTATGTGTCACTGGGAAGCTGGATGGGATTCATTCATTCATCCATTCATTTAGCATCCATTGTCCATTGTCAGTCAGTGCAAGACGCCTCTGTGAGAGCCGGCGCCTCCCCTCCTTGAGCTCCTGCTGGGTGCCCCTAGTGCTACCTGAGCTAAGTCACCCAGTGCCCGCGGCAGCCTGGCCAGAGGGAGACTGTTGGCCTCCTTTGCCCGGAAGGGTGCTGAGCTGGGAGAAGGAAGTGACCCACAGGGCAGAGTCTGCTCCGATGACTCAGGTGTCTGATCCTCATGTGTTCACCGGGTCTGACACCACTGACCGACAGCTCGGCCACGCAGGGAGGGCGCAAGTGCCCCGGCGTCTGCCTGCCTCTGCATCCTGGGTAAATGCCGGCTTGCAGGGTCAGGGACGCTGGGCGGGGCCTAGACCGAGACCCACTATGCCTCTGGCCCCGCCTCCCTGGGCACATCCCGCCTCTCTCTGGCTTCACTCCTGCCACCTGGCATGGGCGTGGCTCTCTGCCGGCCTTGCCTGCAGCCCCCTGGGTGGGAGCAAAGGTGAGAGTGGGGATGGGATTACACAACCCCACAGCACGGCCCTGAGGTGCAGGTGGGGGGCACACACCCTCAACTCCTGCTCTCACCTGGCAGGTCATACCCAAGCTTCAGTACTGAGTTTGGAATTCTCCAGGAAGTCAGTCTCCTGTGATCTGCAAGGCTGGGTCACAGGCCTCCCTCTCTCAATGGCATGACCACACTGGAGTCACCAGACTCCCAGGGGCTACATCTGGGGCCCAGGCACCCCGCAGAGTCGGCCCTGCCCATGCAGGGTGAGTGCAGGAGGCGTGGGGCCCTCGCCTGCTCTCCCACCTCACCTGCCCTCCATGCGCTGGGCTCCTAGCTCCGCCTCCCTCTCCCTCCTCGGTGGGCGGACCCCCCCATCAGCCCCAGGGGAACACGGAGAGACGCTTCCGGAGTCTGCGTGGTCCCTGGCCGTGGGCAGGGGCGCAAGAATCCGGCCAGCAATCAGGGACAATTTTGTCTCAAAGGCCGCCAAACGCGACAGGAGGGGCTGCACGAGGGGCCGCCAAGTCGGCAGCCTTGAGGGACGGTCTCTGGCAACGGGATCTTGAAAACGTGGGGGGAGGTGGAGGGGCCAGTCGCCGGCGCAGGGACTGCGGCGGGGGGCTGCCACGTGGCACCCACGCGGCGCGCGGACCTGGACGAATCACAAGGCCCAGGTTGCCGGGGCAGCGGCGGGCAGTGCTGGTGGGCGGCGCGGGGAGGTGGGCTCTGTGAGGAGTAGCGGGGTGCCGAGCACCAAGGGAACCTTGCGGCTGGGCCTGCCCCGACGCCATGGGCACGAATGTCGCCCCGAAGTGGTTCAGCGGGGCGCCTTTTGGCGTGCAGAGCCACAGGTGAACGCCCCCAGCCCCTCTCTGCCTGGAGGGTGGGGGTGGGGAAGGGGCGGAGCCTGGGGCAGCCATTGGGGGCAAGGGGCTGAACTTCCTTTCCCCCATTCTGCTAGCTTCCGTGCCCAGAATTCTTTTCTCACACTATATCAAGAGCCCCACTGTGTGCCAGGTTTAGGGAGGCCACATGACCTGGCGCGCAGTAGGTCCCTCGGCTACAAAGTCATGGCTGGACTTAAACCCGGGAGTCTGGCCTCCTTTCTTCATGGAGGAGTGTGTGTGTGTGTGTGTGTGTGTGTGACCTGCTGTGTGCACGCACAGCTGGGACTCTGGGACTACAGCAGACAGCTAAAGTGTGGGCCCTGGAAATGCGTATTAGGACTATGGAGAAGCCTTCAGCCAGAGGAGGGGGCGGAGTTCAAGGCCGCTGCCACCCTGCCGCCGCCCACAGTCACTCCCCTGGGAAACCAACTCCCCCACCCCGGGGCGCTCTCACCGGGCCTGGGTCCCCCACCAGGTTCGACGTGTCCGCTGTCTACCCCAACCAGAAGAAGTACAGCACCTTCACGGAGGCCCCGTATTCTCGGCGCTACTCCGAGGAGGTGGTGAGTCGGCATAGCTCGCGCGACGCCTGCCGCATGGTCTGGCCGCGCGCCTCCGAGTCCCCTGTCCCCGGTACCAGCTTCGGTGGGGGGCGCTGGCTACGTCACCCAGGGCAGGGTTGGTATGGCTGGCACATCCTCCACCCTGCTCTGCCTTAGTCCCACATAGGACCAGGGACCTACAGCTCCAAGGAGACCTGCTTCAGCAAGAAGAAGCTGAGGAAGGAGGTGGGCACAGGCTGGGCCCGGGCCCAGGAAGCCACGCGGCTGACCCAGCTGCCCCACTTCCAGTACCAGGCCATCCTGAAAGAGAAGCAGCAGCAGGTGCGGGGGCTGGGGCCGGGCCCCCCGCCCATGTTGGCCGTCCCGGTGTCGTCCAGGCGCAGGCGGAGCTCTCCGGGTAAGGAACACGGCCGCCCCCGGGCTCCTTCCGGCCGCGTTCATCCCGTGCTCTCTTCTCCTGGTGCAGGGACAGAAGCTGGGGCCCGGCTCCTACAACATCAAAGACTTCCTGCAGCTGCTGCAGCACAAGCCGTGCAGCACGCGGGGGCTGCTGAGCTCCGGGGAGGCGCGCTTCCGGGGCTTCATTGGGGTAGGTGCAGGTGCGCTCGGCCCTCCACACTGGCTGGCAGCAGCCTCGCTCCGGCCAGCCTCCCGTCCAGGGCCCCCACAGCCCCTCGGCGTCTCAGGGAAGGCTTTTTTGCACCTGCCGTTCCCCGCCGCTCCTGCGGAGGCCGCCTGGGAAGCCTTCCTCGCCCCTCCAGGAGTGCCCGCGGGGCTCGGGTGCTCGGTGCACAGCAGCCCCGAGGGCTGGCTCATTCACGGCAGCTGCCGAGGTCCTAGCAGAGCCTGGCCCACAACAGGCAGGCCGTGGGCATTTTCAGACCGAGTGAGTGCACGCAGCTGCTCCCAGACACTCTCTGTAATGCTCTGCAGCCTCTGCGGGTCAGGTCCTGGAGGTCAGAGGAGGCGAGAGCTGCCGCAGGCCCCAAAGCCCCTGCCTTCCCCCCGGGGCCTGGGCCTTCTGTGACCTCAGGGAGATCCCCCCTGCCCTGCTCGGGGACCGGCAGATGCTGTGGCAGCTTAGGCAGGGGCGACCGGGAGGCATTTAGCCAACAAGCCCTTACCTGCACTTGGGAAGTAGTAGAGTGGGTGCCCAGCCAGGGCCTGCGGCGCCCTGGGGAGTCCTGGCCCACAGCAGCCCTGGGAGGTGGGCACCATCGCTTTGTCCACTTCACAGATGAGAAAACTGAGCATGGAGAGCGACAGCAGCCCAAGCCCACAGAGCTGGAGTCCAGGGGGTCCAGGATTTCTGTCCTTGACCTTCTGTGGGGGCAGGGTCTGACGTCTGGGCTCAGCCCTGCCCATCTCACACTGTCTGTCTCCTTCCTGTGTCCCTGGCCCCAGTGCTGCGGGGTGGGGGGTGGGGCATCTGCCTGGGGACCGTCCCCTGTTGCCCATCTTTGGGGGGTCCTTCTTGCTCTTGGGGGCCCAGTGTTAACAAAACCCCTCTCCCAAACTCCCCCACTGGCTGCCGAATCAGTCCTTGCTGCCTGGGCCCCAGCAGCTCTGGCAACATAGCAGGTGGTTAAAAATCACGTCAGCCTGAGTGTGATACTGAACATGGGAACTTGAAGCTTTCATGTTAGGAGAGAGACTACACTGGCGAAGCAGTCGGCGCAGGGTTTGGGCTGCCCTTGAACTTCAGGGCAGGGGTCACGCTCACCCCTTTGTTGCCACCCTCATTCCCCCAGTCTCCCGGCCACAGGGTGCTCCCTGCCCAGTCACCCCAGGGCCTGGGACGGGGCCCTTGACGGGTGGTTTTCCTCTCTCAGACTCAGTTTCCCGTCTGTGTGAATGTAGACAGTACTGACTTGGTCTCATGGGGCTGCCTCCAGAACCAAGGCGTTAAAGCTCTCACAACTTCCAGCACACCATTCCGGGATCCAACTTCCTGCCCTTGGAGTTTTTCTCCAGGATGGACTGGGTCACCTGGGCCATGGGGAAAACAAACAAGGCTGCTGCCTGCAGTGGCATGATTTCCCCAGCAGAGGGCCCTGCGCTGGGCCTGGCTTCCCCAGGACCAGCTTCCAGGATCCGGAGTTGGGCTGGCTGAGTCATCCGTGGAACGGCAGCGACCCCGTGTGGCCCGGAGGTGCAGCACAGCGGCAAAAACCCTGCGAAGGGTATCCAAGGACCCCTCTACATCCTAGTGCTAATTTCGTCTTCCCTTCTGATCTGGCATTCCAAGCCCCCGATGGTCATTCCAGCCACAGTTATTAACCTCTTCTGCTTGCGAGACTGTCAGCCACCCCACTCTGACTCATGTTGCTGCCCACTGTGAGCTGGCCACTGTGCAGGGGGCTTCACAGACATTATTCAGCTTCCTCGTTACCTCCCGGAGCAAAGTGTTACCATCCCCACGTCACAGATGAGGATGTGAGGCTCACGGGGCTCGGTGTTTCTCAGCTAGGAAGCTGCAGAACCAGGATCCGAACCCAGGACCTGGGTCCTTCTGTGTCCAGCACTGTCCACAGCACAGTGTGTGCAGGGCTCTGAAGGATGGGACCGTTGAGGCCGCCACGGCAGGCATCCGTCTGGGGCCACAGGGCAAGCCCTCCCCAGGAGAGGTGACTGACGGCTGGGCTGGCTCTGCAGGATTGGTGGCTTCCCCAAGGCGAGGGGAGGGAGCACACCATGAGCGAGCCCGGGCAGCGAGCTGGGCAGGGCGGCATGGGCGTGGGTAGCAGCAGCGAGCTCAGGTTGTGCGGAATGTGGGAAGGAAGCCGTCAGATGGAACCAGCACGGGGCAGCGGGGCCCTGGGCAGGTGCTAGCAGCACCAGTGCCGTGTGTTGGGTAACCCCGGGGACCTGAAACCCTGACCCCTCTTAGAGGTGGGAGGCCCGAGTGTTTCCTCCTTGGATGCCCTCAGTCCCCTCCCCTGCCCCACAGAACTACTACCCAGGCCCTGGGAATTATGGGGAGCGAGGTAACCCCTACACGCGGCTGGAGGAGAATGCCTGGAACCGGTCCCACTCCGAGGGCCTGCTGTGCAGGATGAGCAAGAAGCCGTCCCCCCTGGCTCACCAGGTACAGCCCTCCCCTGGCCAAGCCCACCAGCCTGCCCACGCCTTCCTGGAGGGAGGCCCCCAGGGCACTGGGGATTCTGAGTGACTGCCAGGGTGACGGCACTGTCACCTCTGCCGTGCCCTAGGGCAGTGGCCTAGGACCCGGCACCTACACCCTCAAGAGCAGCATCGACACCTACGTGGCTCGGTCCATCGGCACCCGCGGCCCCTATGACATCTTCTCTGGCGAACGGAGTGAGCCGCTGCCTTTCGGTCATTACTCTGTGCAGGTGTGCACCTGGGAGGCTGGCGGGGTTGGGTAGGCCTCACCAATCCATCCCAGAGACGCCACACACCTCCTTACGTCTGCCCTGCAGCCAGGTGGAATTCAGCCCCTCCTGGGGTTAGAAGATGAAACCATAGCTGGCCACCTGGCTGGGGAGGGCAGGGCTGGGATTTGAGCCCGGGGCCTCCTGTCTCACGGCCTCTTCTCCATCACTGCACCAACATGGACTCCATAGGGGTGCACGTGGCCCGTGATGCCAGGGCTGGCCGGGTGCTGGCTGTGAGGCCTGCAGGGCTTGAGGGTGCCGGTCTGTATGGTCTGTTGATGAGGCCGAGGCTGGGAGGGGACACCGGGGTGGAGTCTCAGCTTGCCAGCTCCCCCTTCCCCCGCCCTGAGCCATTGTCAGTCTGGGTGGCATCTGTTTTGTGGGCTTGGACCATGGCTGCGTGCACAGTGTCCCACAGAGCAGTGCTGTGGCCCTGGAAGTCCTCTCTGGTGCTGGCTGTGCCGCCACCCAGCACGTCCAGTGCTGCTGGGGACAGGCTGACCCCAGCCTGACCTGCCAGTGGGGGTGGGGGTTGGGAGGCCACAGTGAGTGACCCTGCGGAAGCACTGGCTTTGCTCTGACTGCTGGTGGGGGCTGAGAAAGAAGGCTCTGGAGTTTCCTGGCACAGCAGACCCCCCCACCCCCACCCCGCTGTCTTGCAGAAGAAAAAGGCTAGGGAACTGATGAGTTTCAGGAGCTTCGTGGAAGAACTGAACTCACGTCACAACAAGAATCGTGGCATTTTCTCAAAACTTCCCCGCAACCCGGAGACACCCACGGAGAGGATCTACTGGGCCACCGTCAGCCAGTGTCCCCGGAAGCTGGTCCGCACCCCCCACCCCGCCCACCTGCCTGTCTGGGAGGGCAGCTCTCCGCGGGTGGGGGCTACTTTCCAGGGAGCGTACAGTCTTGGGGAGCACTGTCCTGTTTCCAGTCCCGCTCGTGCCCTCACCCCTCACTTTGGGTAAGGTGTGCCCATTCCCCATGTGGCCAGCGAGGCGGCTGTGAGGACAGATGAGGCCGCATGCCCAGAGCCTACAGTGTGGCTCCTGGCACCCAGGAAGTGACCAGTCAGTGTCCGTCTCCACCCAGCCCTCAGAGCCCTGGAGGAAGAGCAGGGGAGACTGAGGCAGGGCAGAGGGTGACCAGGGGGTCCACCCTCCACAGGGTCTGCCCGCCTGCTCCTCAGAGGACAGCAGGCAGCTGTGCCTCTCTGGGCGTGCAGAGCGCAGCCCGGGCTCTGAGCAGGCTCCTCCCTTTCCCCCAAGCAAGTCTGTGTGCAGCGTCGGGGAAGGAGTTAGGGTGGTATGGCGGGGAGGGCATGTCACTTCCCCAAGACCTGCTGGGCACTTTCCAGTCCCCATGGAAGGGGTCATCTTTTACATTTCACAAGAGGATACTGAGGCCCGATCTGGGGAGGGGTCTGCTTGGTTACCCCCCATAAGAGCAAGGAGGGCAGGGGGTGACCCAGCCCGTGTGGCACAGGCTAGTGTGGCCTCCGCTGTCCAGGCTGTGGCCCAGAGCCTCTCACTGCACCTGCCAGACCGTGAGGGCCCTGAGAGCCTGGCTGATAGGCAGAGGTTGGAAGAGGGGGAGCATGGGTCGTGAGGGCCCCCCCAGACCCCCTCGTGGGGCCTGGCTGGGTCCCTCCACCGTCCCCGGCTCAAGGATTGCTGGGTGCCGAGAACCCTCACCCGCCAGGCCCTCTAGCTCTGCCTTCCTTCTTGGCTCCCAGGCCACGTCTGGCCCTGGCTCGTGGCTTCCACAGGAGAAGAAGTGCCAGTACGCCAGCCTGCCCCCCTTCCTCCTGGCCTCCAAGCGGACCAGCATCAAGACCTACCAGGTGCTTGGGGCGGCTGGGAGGGCGAGGGTGGGGAGGGGCGGGGAGCGCTCAGACCTGTCTTGGGCCCTGAGTCCCAAGGGACTGGCCCCCACGGCCACCACCTTGTTCCTCTAAGGCACACATCCTCACACTGAGCGGGGCGCCGGGGTCACCGCAGGGCGGGTGAGAGCACAGCCTGCCGGACCCCTGGACCCTGTGCGGGGCCTCAGCTTCGGGAGCCCGGGGAGGGGGGGTGCTGGGAGTCTGCGGACGAAGACGCTGCTCCAGAACCCATGCTCCCATCTCCCCCAGGGAATTCCGATTTCTCTGTTTTGAGGCCTCGGGAGCAGCTGTCACTCTGGCTGGGCAAGGCCCCTTCTGCCCTCTTCCCCTCCCACTCTCCGCCTCCACAGAGGCAGCCATCCCCACGCAGGTGACCTAGCTCTCAATTTCTCAGTCTTGTGATGCAAGTCAGCCCCTGGGCTCTAGGACCTTGGCTCCTTAGTTTACACAGGGGCCTTGAGCATTGACCTTGTTGAGCAGAGCTATGGAGGGAGAGACAGAGATCTTCCACCCCCTGGTCTCTCCCCAGATGGCTGCTATGGCTAGGGTTAGGCCAGGTGGAAGCCAGGAGCTCTGGTCTTCCATCCAGGTTTCCCGTGTGAGTGGCAGGGGCCTAAGCACTTGGGCCATCTTCTGCTGCTTTCCCAGGTGCATTAGCAGGGAGCTGGATTTTAAGTAGAGCAGCTGGAACTCGAACTGGCGCCCCTATGGGATGCCGGCAATGCAGGTGGCCTCTTAACCTGCTGAGCCACAACACCTGTCCCTGCGTCTAATGATCAGACAGAAAGGTGCACAGAGAGAGCAGCTCCATGGATTAGTACAAAGTGGCTTCACCGGCGTGCCCCCTGCCCCCACATCCCAGGAGCCCCCATCAGGGAGCCCCCATGCTAGTTCCCAGTGGCACTGACTGGCGTTGCCTGCTCAGACAGCTTTCTATGTTGAAGGTCTCCCCTGTCACCCTGGGTACTCTGGTGTGTACCTTACCTACCTCCCCGATCTGCTCCTCCCACCATCCCCTCCGGCACCTGCCTCTGAGCGCTCCCTCGTTGAAGGGGAGCCTGCCAGCCCCTCCAGCTCCTCAGCTCCCCCAGTGCCGGCCCGTCCCCAGTGTGCCTGCCCCGCTAGGCGAGTGCTCTGCTGACCAGCTGGCCAGGCCCGCAGTCTGACTCCCCTTCCTGTCCTCCAGCCTGCAGCCCGGCAAGGCTGTGGTGGGGGCCGGGGGCGGCGCTTCACACGGGGGAAGATGTTGAGAGAGAGCCAAGTGAGCATGTTGTTTCCACAGGCCCAGCCGTCCCCAGGAGGAAGGGCTGATGGGAGGGCTGGGGTCCAGGAAGGCCCTGTGCTCATCCGTCCAGCCCAGGAGCCTGTTCCCCGCCCCCCCACCACAGGCCTCCCCCACACCAGTCACAGTCCCGACCCACACCCCCCGACAGGCCTCCCCCACACCAGTCACAGTGGATCAACATCCCACCAACCACAGTTAGCTAATTATGTCTACAACTGCTCCATTTCCAAATCTGGTCACATTCTGAGGTTCCAGGTTAGGGACCTCACCATCAACATGTGACTGACAGATGGAGGAGGGAGGGGTGCGGGGGGTGGCCAGCGGTCATGGCCTCTGCTAGGCTGGCTCATGTCCTTCCTGCCATTCTCTCCCGGTGCAGAACCCCGTAGGTGTGGGCCGCTACTTAAACACCAGGCTGATGGAGACCAAGGATAGACGGAAGCGATACCGGTCCCTGTTCCTGGGAGTTTCCAAGCGCTACCTCTCGGACCCAGCCCGGGACACCCTCATGCAGTGAGTGCCGCTGGAGCCCAGGGAGAGGAGCTTGCTCTTGGGCGGGCTGGGGTTGCCCAGGCTGGACCCCCTGGGGAGCACAGCTGCCGCTGGCTAATGCCAGCCAAACAGCAGAGATGTCCAAGCTCGGAGCCTGGCTCTGCCACTGGCAGGCTGTGTGAGTGGGGGGAGCTGCCGAAGCTCTCTGAGCCCATTCCCTTCCCCTGTCAAAGCGCAGATGGCCGAAGAGACGCAAATGAGATGATCTAAGCTCTTAGCAAGGAAGAGGCTCTCAATCAGCATCAGCCCTCCCCCCACAGCCCACGGAGGCTGGGCCCTGCCCTGAGTGGCCTTGCCACCGAGAATCTGTCTGGTGGTGGGGTTGGAGGAGGCTGTTGTGAAGCCTGAGAAAGAAAAGGCGAGGAAATGCAGGGGCAAACTCCGCGGCAGCTTGCAAGTGTTGGCTGCTGCCGTGTTTTATGGTCCCAAGAGGCTGTCAGTGGCAACCTACTTGCAACTTCAAAATGTTAGTGTGAATAAACATGCACTTTAGGATTGAGCTTTTTGTTTTTTTGCACATTATGGTGAGATCAAGAGGACTGCATTCAGGGGAAGCCAGCTTTGAAATGTGATTTTTTTGGGGGCTGGTGCCGTGGCTCACTAGGCTAATCCTCCGCCTTATGGTGCCGGCACACCGGGTTCTAGTCCTGGTTGGGGCGCCGGATTCTGTCCCAGTTGCCCCTCTTCCAGGCCAGCTCTCTGCTATGGCCCGGGAGTGCAGTAGAGGATGGCCCAAGTACTTGGGCCCTGCACCCCATGGGAGACCAGAAGCACCTGGCTCCTGCCTTCAGATCAGCATGGTGCGCCGGCTGCAGCATGCCGGCCACAGCGGCCATTGGAGGGTGAACCAACGGCAAAAGGAAGACCTTTCTCTCTGTCTCTCTCTCTCACTGTTCACTCTGCCTGTCAAAAAAAAAAATGTGATTTAAAAAAAATTATTTATTTGAAAGAGTTACACAGAAGGGGAGGGAAGGGGGAGGGAAAGGTGGCAGAGGGGGAGGGGGTGTCTTCCATCTGCTGGATCACTCCCCAGTTGGCTGGGCTGATCCGAAGCTAGGAGCCAGGAGCTTCTTGCAGGTCTCCCACGTGGGTGCAGGGACCCAAGGACTTGGGCCATCTTGTACTGCTTTCCCAGGCCATAGCAGAGAGCTGGACCAGAGGTGGAGCAGCTGGGACACGACCTGGCATCCATATGGGATGTCAGCACTGCAGGTGGCAGCTTTACCGACTATGCCACAGTGCCAGCCCTGGAATTTTTAAAATGCATTTTTCCCCATCAACGTCATCCCATGTCTTCATCCTTTTTGATTTAGCTCCCTTGTGGTGGTGGATTCCTGAGACAGGGCAGTGGAGGGTAAGATTCTGGATAGACTGCATGCCTCAAGAGGTGTTTGCATTTTTCCTGCCTGCACTTCTGATCGATAGTTTAGCTGGGAATAAAAGTTGGCCAGAACTCATTGTCCCCAGGAGGAGCTTTGTGGGCCTCCCTCTCCTTCGTCCTGGCCTCTGGCCTGCATGTCGAGGGGCCTGATGTGTTCTGGTTTCCTGTCTTCTGCACAAGACCTGCGTTTTCCATTTTTAGAAGCTTTCAGGGCCTTTTCTCTGTTCCTTGTAGTCTGAGATTCCATGACGAGGGCCTCAGCTTGGTTTTTCCATCTGGAAAGTCAGCAGGGCGGGCCTTTGGTACAGCAAGTAACACTTCTTGGGGTGCACGCAGCTCACCTGGGAGTCCCTGGGCTCAAATCCCAGCTCTACTGCTAATTCCAGCTCCCTGATAATGCACACCCAGGGGGCAGCAGGTGGTGGCCCCAGTACTTGGGTCCCTACCACCCATGTAGGAGAGCTGGATGGAGTCCCAGGCTCCTGGCTTTAGCCTGGCGTAGCCTCAGTTGTTGGGGAGAGGGCGCATTTGGGGAGTGAACCAGCAGTTGAAGATCTCTTTCTCTTTGTTTTTCTCTCTGCCTTTCAAACATATAAATAAGAATTTTAAAACAACAGCCACACAGATCTGAGCACGCTCTGTCTCGGGGGAAATTTGTTGTTTTGAGTGTTTGTCTTTGCTGCCTTCCTGCCCTCTGCTTCCTCTCTCCTCTCTTTCGGGAATGTCTTTAGACGGATGTTAGCAGCCCCGGTTTGCTTCTCTTGTCTTTTTCTCCCCCTTTTTCTTATTTTCTGATACAATTTCCTTGTCTTTGTCTTCCAGCCCTACTGCTGCTTTTGAATATTTTGGCTGTCATATTTTGCAGTTCCCAAGAGCTGCGTTTCGCTCCTTTGAACATTCTTTGCGTAGCTCCGAATTCTGTGCCATGTGTGTTGCGAGCGCTTTTGTCCGAGGATCTTAGCTACACGGTCCCTGAAGTTATTTGCTCCCCGCGTTGTCTCCAGTTCTTCTGCGTTTCTTTTCTTCTGTCTTTCCTCACATTGAAGAGGAAGGCACTGGAAAATGCTGCGTCTGGGTAGGGCCTGTGCATGGTGGCTTCCCTGGGCACCTGCCCTTCTCTTGAGAGACGCTCAGTGCCAGTGTTTCCAGGAGGTTCTCTGGGAGCAATTGGCCTCTCTAGAGAGAACCTCCGTCCCCGATGGGGGTGGGGGTGGCTGCTGGTGTTCAAGGAAGGAGAAGAGGACGTGGCCTTCCTCCTGGCCCGTGGTGATCACACTGTGGCCATGGGCTGTGCCTGGTCTCCTGGGACTGGGACTGCTCTGCACACCCCACCTCCCTGTCTCCCGCTGGCCCTGAGCAGCTGAAAGTCAGGTCCAGCTGGCCTCCTGCTTTCAGTGCGTGGTCTCCTGCCTGCTTTTTGAGATACGGTGCTGGTGTCGCCAGTTGCTGGGCCTTCCTGGGGTTTGCAGTGGGAAGTGGCAGTTTTCCCCGCAGGCAGCTTGCTCTCCAGCCTCCTCCCCGCACTTTCGTCCCCACGCGCATTAGCGTCCTTGTCCCCCGATGCCTCCTCTGCCCTCGCTGTTTCCTTATGTGTCTCCGGGCAGGCTGGCTGCAGAGCGAGGGGAGAGCCATGCCTGCAGCCACTGCTCTGAGCAGCAGCAGGGCCTGAGGGACACTTCTGGTGTGCACTGCCTTTTCTACCCCTTCCTGGCCAAGGCGCGTGGCTGCCTTCCACGTGCAGAGGGGAAGTGAGAGGAGCAACTCGCCCGTTGCTCCACTGCTGAGCTGCAGAGTCAGGGTGGGATCCAGTCCTCCCTTCCAGGGCCATGTCCCTCCCACACGGTCCATCAGCACCTGTCTCCCTCCCACCCCTGGTGCCCCCTGCAGCACTCAGGCGTGTGGGAGCCACAGGATTTCCCATGTGACCAGGCTTGTGATTTCCAGCTCACCCCTATGCTGTGTGACCTGGGCCAAGTCACCGAGAGACAGACTCTTCTCATCTGAGAAATGAGGCCAAGCGGGCATGATGACCACACGGGTTGGCCCCGTGGACGCCTCCACCCGTGGGTGCTGTCCTGTGGTCTGCAGGTGCCAGCTCCCTCTTCCCTGGCGTCCGCCTGGGCCATGGTGGAATTCGGTGTTTTGTTTATTCATACTGGGGGTGCATTCTTTGTACAGGCTTAAAGTGTGCAGCTCCCGGGCAAAGCAGGTGTAGGGGCAGATGTTGCCCTCGTCAAAGACCCAAGGAAAAGCCTGTCTCAGAGTGGAGCCGTCGATAGAGGAGGGGGAACAGTCCTAGAGGGCGTGGGGACTGCGACAGAGGAGACCAGGACCCTGGGTGCAGAGTCCTCTCACCATGATTGCCTGCGTCACTGGCATCACCCCGCGTTGCTTTGGAGGTTCTAGCAAATGCAGTAAGACAAGAAAAATAAGCGAGACTGTAAATATTGCTAAGGAGGGCAAAGTCAGCATGATTTCTAACCACATATGTGTTCACTAAAAAGTTCAGGAGTTGATTTTAAAGTTGTGACGCTAAGAAGACAAATGTGGTACAGTACGTAAATGAGTATTTGCCTCTTATACTATATTCATAGCACAGAAAGCTCCATTGAGATAAAGAGAGCCTATTATTTTTTTAAAAAAGTGCTCTGGGGCTAGCATTGTGGCACAGAGGGTTAAGCTGCTGCTTGGGACACCAGGATCCCACATCAGAGCACCGGTTCAAGTCCCAGCTCCCTGCTAATGCGCCTGGGAGCCAGCAGAGGGTGCACTGGATGTTGAAGCTATTTAGGGAATGAACCAAAGGATGGAAGATCTCCCCCCACCAACTCTGCCTTTCAAGTAAATACAATAAGTCTTTTAAAAATTTGTCTAGTATCACGTTAAAAAATAAACACATCTGCAGTCTAAATCAAAGACAGTCAGTTGTGTTTTGAGCTTCTCTTCTGAAACAACCAAAAATACTGTGTCTAGAATCCTCATGAACAAGAAGGGAGACTGTAGAATCTAAACTAGCATTCATGGGCAAGGCAAATGAGAGTTCACAAGGATTCAGGGTACAGACTAATGTGCCTTTTCAGAAAATATTACTGGAGAATACATCCAGTCAAATGAAAAGTGAATTAACATGGAGAGCTCAAGAAAGGGGGAATACATAATATATACAAATACAGAAACTTGGGCTGGTGTTGTTGTAGTTTAAGAAACTGCTTGTGACACTGGCATCCCATATGGGTGTGCTGGTTCTAGTCCCAGCTGCTCCATTTCTGATCCAGCTCCCTGCTAATGCATTTGGAAGGCAATGGATGATGAACCAAGTACTTAGGTGCCTGCCACCCAAGTGGGAGACCTGGATGGAGTTCTTGGCTCCTGGCCTGGCCCAGACACAGCTCTTGTGGCCATTTGGGGAGTGAACTAGTGGGTGGAAGATCTCTCTCTTCCCCTCTCTCCCTCTCTGATGCTCTGCCTTATATTTCAATTTATTTTATTTTATTTTAAACATTTATTGTATTTATTTGAAAGGCAGAGTTACAGGGAGAGAAAGCAGGGAGACAGAGGGAGGAAGAGGGAGAGATAGAGAGATCTTCCATCTGCTGGTTCACTCCCCAAATGGCTGCAACCATCAGGGTTGGATCAGGCCAAAGTCAGGAGTCAGTAGCTTCTTACAGGTCTCCTAAACACTTGGGCCATCTTCCACTGCTTTCCCAGGCACATTAGCAGGGAGCTGGATTAGAAGTGGAGCAGCTGGGATTCGAACTGATGCCCATATGGGGTGCAGCTCTGCCCAACACTCTGCCTTTTAAATAAACAAATAAATAAATCTTTAAAAATACATAGAAATGCAAAGAGTGATTGTCAATGCAGTCTTCCCCACGTGGCTTCCCCTTTCATGTGGATTAGGGAGGCTTGGCGAGGTGGGGTACAGAGAATCGCCACGTCCTGCAGCCAGACAGAGCGGCGCACGGAGCAGAAACGCATGGCTGGGACTCGGTCTGTGCTCCAGGTTGGCCCCTTGGCCGGGTTGGGAAGAGGGCACAGGTGACCCAACACACGCCTTCCGCCTGTGCTTTGTCTTCAGTTGGGGCCGGGCAGGGCCCGTGTGGGAGCTACGCGAAGCCTGCCCTGGACTGTGCGGGTACAGCTAACCTTCCTCACCCTCACTGCCAAGCCTTACCTGCTTCTTCCCGAAAGCCGCGGGGCCTGGAGTCTAACTCTTGTGTGGGAGAATAAGTCTTTTGGTTTTCGTTCTTTCCAGCTGTGGATGTGATAGGTGCTTCGCTCCAGCATGTGGCGGACTGGCCAGTGGGCCTGACTGGCCACCTGGCTCCCTGTCTGGGTCTCTTGGATCTTGCAGGCAGATCACTTTAACAGCAGCGGGTCACCTGCTGGCCATGTGGGCCTGCGGGCTCCATTGCAGCCCGGCCAGCTGTTCTGTTCTTGAACGTCTTC